GAGATCTATTCAGAGGCTCAAACATCGAGGCATATATCGTCGTGTCCTGTGAGATTGTAGTGTCCTCAGACTCCTTGTTTGCCTGTGCAAGGCTCTCCGCCAGGCATTGATCGGTGTTGCGAATCAATTGAGCCTGATCAACCCTCGCCTGCGACTTCACGTGCGTTAGTTCGTCTCTCAGATTCTCTCGACCCTGGTGAGCTCTCTCGTCAACTTGATCTATTCTCTTGGTCATGTCCCGTCTCAGTTCATCCAGACCATTCATTACGCCAGCGAACATGTCACTTATATCACCAGCTGCCCCAAATGGCGGGGTTAGTCCCAAAGAGGATGAGGTCAACTGCGGCTGCAGCCTGGTACTTGATGACGCACCGCCTTTTTGCTTGCTCATCGACGTCATCAATCTGTCGAACGTTGATGACGCTCCCATCGTTATCCCATCTGACATGGGCCTGGTCTACGAGGCGGACGACGCGTTCCCGCTCATGTCTTTTCTTGGGCACGGCACAGGGCCTACTCTTAGTTCACGACCGGATGGGTTATCTCCGGGTGGTCATAACCGGAAGATAAACCTTCAGTTCGTAGTGACGCCATGCGCTCATCATACAAAGACTTCCAGCTCTTCTTGGCCTTCGAACCCGGTTGTTCTTCACTCGGGCTTATGCTCGACATCATCGCGTTGTTGCTCTGCTTGGCCAGAGATGAGTGGGTGTTAGCTGGATGTGAAAATTCTCCTCTCCACCTATGACTCTTGGTCTCCAATTTGGACATTCCCCTGAATAACACTTCCTCTCGCGGCTCGAACTCGGAACGCTCCGAGGTCTCCTCCGTCCTCTCGACTTACTTCCGCTCGAGGTCCTCGCTCGGTTCAAAATCGGGTCGAATAAGCGTCTGTTCTCCTTCGTCAAAGGGGTCCACAAGCGTTTCGCTCGCGGGTCCGGCCTCGGCGCTCCGCCCTTGATCGCCATCGAGGTTTTTCTCGCTCCTTAGTTTCATTTCGCTCACTGAAAGATCAGGTTGACCTTTAGTCGATTCGTTTTCAGCAAACACGTCGGAAGCGCTGCTAAACGAGGACTGGCTACGCCTAGTTTAAAATTTTCGCGTGCTTCCCTTGCTCAGCCTGGGAATCTTAGTAGTCGATCCTAACGAGTCCCTGGGCTGCAGACTTTTTACCAAATAACAATATTCTTATAATTTGATGGCGATGCACACGTACCGCAAACAAGTGCAAGTTAAATTACTTAACGCTGCCTCTTCGATCTCGTGAGTATCAAAAATGTCTCTTAGATTTCTCAATGACAATCTTAGTGACTCAGCTAAAGTTACACACACAGGGCCTACTCAGTATTGATATAATGATAACTCAACCCTGTTGTATAGTATAACGGTATCACAAAATTTTCACAAGATATAATCATTACACAAAACACAATTGATAATCAGATAAGAATATCCTACAGGTGACAGCGACCTTTCGTCAGTATCAATTTACCGCCACACTCTTATCAAGTCACTGCTTTGTTAAATCAAACAATCTTTGGTAAAAAGCAGTGATGATTCAGAAACAAATCAATAAAAATTAGTCTTAAAGAAAAAGACTTCCCTCAATCGGAACGATCCGAAAGAACGAAGCCCAGGACACAGTCTTCTCAAGTGAGTGTGTATTTTCCTATTACACCCACCGAGGTCTTCTTTTAGGTGTCCTGCGATTGCCCGAGCTGTCCTACTAAGTAGCTCAAGGCAACCTCTGATCGAAAATCTCCAAAGTCTAGGAAAAAGGTCCCCCACACCAGGAACGCTCCAAGTGCACGAGAGCAGGGAACAAGTTTTCTTCTCAAGTGAGTGTGTATTTGCATAATACACTCACCGAGGTCTTCTTTTATTTGTCCCCGGATTGCCCGAACGTTCCTATTAAGTAGCTCAAGGCAACCACACAACCAAAATCACAATAAAAAAAAACATTTTTTTGGTTCGGGTACTTCTGATACACCCGATCTAGAATCCAAAGTTGATCACGAATTTCCGGGTCAAAATGCGCTCCTATGATCCTAATAAGCACGCCTAATATCCTAATATGATCTTAATTAAATGGATATTTTCCGTTTCTCTAATTGCCACAGAAGGTTTCCTCAAGTTTCTAACAAGGAGGGTTGTTAGGAGGTCACTCCGGAGGGTTACTTCGGAGGGTTGTTAAGACACTTAGCCTACTCCGGAGGGTTACTTCGGAGGGTTCCCCAAAAATTAAGAAAAAGGGTTATTTTACCGCGATAAAGTCTCCAAAAGCGGTCCACCTGACTTAAAACTAGGTTGGCTGACACGGTCAACCTTCCCAGTGGGATAAAAAGGTGATTTGATAAAAAATTTTCTGCCGCTCGGAGGGTTACCTCTAATTTGGACCCTCCGAACCAACAAATTCTAAAAAATTTTATTTTTCGAGATTATCAACCCAAAAACGGTTGCGGTCCGGAAAAGTGGTCAAAAACGTCGACTTATGGTACCAAAATTATCCCAATCGGTTGGCTAGTCTTTGAGAAATCGCCAAAAACGTGTTTGTCTAAATGGCCTTTTTTCACCACCTATAATATAGGTTCTGAAAAACTTTTTCCGCAATTCCTATTGAAAGTGCCTAAAAATAAATGAAACGAGCGTAGTAGCCCTGTACGGCACTGGAATAATGCAAAAAACCGGACCAAAATTGGTTTGGAGACAAAAATTTAGCCAATAACTATCAAATTTGGACCCTCCGATTCCGATTCCTTCCTTTTCCAATCTCTAAGTCGTTAACTCTATCCACGGAGCTAGTCGGAGGGTTACTCAAAAATTTCTCTAGTAACCGAGCACGTTATTCTAGGACGCTCCTAACACAAAAAATTTAATCGCTCTAACTCTAAAAACTCAAAAACTCGATCCCCGAAACAGATTGACAAAATTCAGAAAATTATCAAAATCTTGATCGAAAAATTTTTGTTTTCGCTAACTTCTACTAAGTCTTTTTCCGTGGGGTTTCTTTAGTTAGAGGGATCGAACTACGTAGTAACTCCCTGTACAAAAGCTTTTTGCTGTTCGGAAAAGCTCGGATATCCAAAATTTTGGGGATCTATAGTTTGGTCGAAAATCAGTAATTCTCGACAAAATTTGGGTGTTTCTCGTCTAAATAGGAGATAGATAATATATACTAGGGACAATAACCTATTAGTAGTCGTAAACGAATAGTACTAAACCCTCCTTTGCTCCAAAATACCCGAATTACGACCCTTAACTCGGAAATTTGTAATCGATGGAGGGTACAATCGGACCACGCCAATCTTGCCCCCCACCACTTAAGTTTTGATAAAATAGTACCCGAACGATACTAAAATTGTTTCAACGATACCCAAAAGTCGTTGTGGATGTTGTCTCTGATGTCCCTGTTGAGTGTGGAACACGTCGGTCAGCTTGCCACTCTACCCTCCGGCCACCGGCAAAATCACCATTAACGTGCTTAAATACTCAAATTACACTCAAGGGAGGGTATCCAACCCTTCGCCAAAACACACAATCTTTCTATCAGAAAGGATATAAATCAATCTAAAACAACAACAAATAGGAAGGTCAGATCACATCTCGTCCGGAAATAACATATAAACTGTCACTTTATGTTTTTTACTGTTTTTGGTCTTTTCTGGATTTGTTTACTGTTTTTTGTACTTTTTTGTTTTCAAATAAATTTGTTTTTGGCTTTTTCTTAGTTATACACTTTTTTGTTTGGTTTTACGCTTTCTCTTTAATTGTTTTTGGTCCTGAGACCTTGGGATAAGCGGATTCATGACTTCCCACCTAACCCTCCGGCCCCCGGAATTTTCAATGTTAACTAAGTTAAAAAGCTAAATAGTACTAGGCGGAGGGTATGCACCTTCCCCCTAGTACAATAACGGTCATTAAGGCCTCTAACTTGGGCATACGCCCGGAGCGGAAGGTTCGTCGCTGAAACGCTTGCTGATCATGATGGTCTTATGCCTTTGACAGGCCCACCCAGGAGCGCCATAAAAACGTCTATGTAACCTTCGCCCAAATACTACACAGCGACGGCGCGTAGAAAAAGTACCTATTAACGACTGGCAGGCGTCAGTTACCTTAATCCTACACGTTTTTCACCGTCTCGACCTTGCCAGTTGATTTTCTGGTCTGTTTAGGGCTAAGTAAAAAGTTACTATTTTTAGGCCATCAGTCAAACGACTTTTGATCAGCTTTCGTTTACATGCGAACACAACCACATAGCTGAGTCTCGGATCCTCAGACTACGTGATTGCAATTAAAAACACGGCTCGAATACCCTATTTTATCATGTTTTTGTGTGACAGTTCTATATTAAATCCATTGGAGATGGATTGACCCTTTCCTCTTCCTAGCTACTCATTTTCTAAAACATCAAATAATACCGGTGTTAATTCAAAGTTCTATGGCATCAGAGTAGCTAAAAAGTTAAGTTACTACAGTCTTTCACCATATAACAGTCTCTGGGGGACCAAGCCTCCGCTCCCTTAATCTTCTCGAGATAACGTTCTTATCTCTCCCAATTTGTGGCACGGGAGGGTTCCGCGGAATTTTTCCTTCCCCACTGAAGCTTTAATCTAATTAATGAATTTTAGAGGTCAACTGTGATTGGCTAATTTTTTAACATGATGGGTTGGACCCAAAATTTTTTGTGAAATATTGTAAATAACGTTTTTAAATTAATGTTATATCGTCGTTTAGATTATTATTTTTTTAAAAACGTGACGATGCACATATTTGCGTAAACTATTGAAATTAATTTTTAACAAAGATTCTTCAAAATTTTTTAAATAGTTTAAGTATCTGTGGAAATTTTATAATCGGCATCTTTTAACGTTTATATTATGTAAGTATGTATGGCATTTCTTTGATAGGTTCCTAACTGACTACAATTTGTAATTGTGTTTGTTTATCTGTTGCATTTTACTGATTGCAATTAAGACATTCGCTCAAAATACCTCGTGTTTTAGGTGAGAAATGTCACAGCCATCTGGTGGCTTTGGGCCACCGCCTTCAAAAATGCCGCGAACCCAATCAATGGGCAGTGCATCACAGCGGACTCGGATGTTTGAACCCCAGGGTGACTATTTTGCAATTTTGTGTGCAACGCAAGTTAACCTTTATTGTCATCAAGAACTAAATACACTTGCGAGTGTCTTGTAATCTGGAATAAGACGTTTTTTCTTTAAAAATCTCACTTTTATGGGAGAAATGTGAACATCTGGAAAGACATTGGATGTAAATTAATATTACATTTAGATTGGGCGAAAGGATTTGATTTTCAGGGTGGTAAAAAGTTTCAAGAATGCAAACAACAAATTATTTAAGGCAGTAATTTTTCTAGTATTGGAGTGACTTTTGGTGGAATGAATGGTTTTAGGGATTTTTAACAAGGGTATTGCAATCGGGTACTAGGCTTCCCCCCCATAAGTAACTTCGTTCACAGAATAGTCTGTAGTACGAATGGCAAACATGGCTGACATGCTCAGTTTGTTGGAAATTCAAATATAATTACCATCGTTTAAGTAGTAGATAGGTTGAGTTCGTTTCAGGCTGTAAATGTTTTTTCAAATAATTTTCTTGAAAAGTGTTGAATTTTTTTTCGGATTCAGGGTTTTCGTCCTAGTTTCCGTCGGTTCGTTTTCCGTTTTTTTTTTAAAATTCGTGTTTTGAGGGTACGGGGGCCTTATAACTTTTATATATCTGAAGTCTTATTGAATTTTTTTCGGCTTAAAGGGTTTCTACTAAGGTATTTTCAGCTATGTTACCGCTTGGTAAATTTTCTTCAGGTGCTAGTTTCGGATTATATTGTCTTGGCATGATTTTATGTCAAAGGTAGCGTTATTCAATTTGGTAGATTTGGTTTTTTCGACATTTTCGATTTTGTTTTCGACTTAGCGGCTTCCTTGCTTCCTTGTTTTATATTGAAGCTTTGCGTGTGTCAAACCTATATTAAAAAATTCAGTTTTTGACGTAGTCCGACTCTGTTTATGAGTTATCATTGAATCCTGCTATGACAGATATCGAGTTCGGTTCCTGTGATAAGTAACGCAACACAGTAGCGCTGAGATTGGTACGCAACGCTCCTCGGTACTAGTGCACCGTGGCTCAGACATCTTCAAGCGCAGTATTTGGTCCTTGAAGTTTCTATAACAAGTTTGCTACTCCCTCGGGATAGCCACTTCGGTCTGTACCTCGGGACGGAACCAGACAAAAGCTGAATGAGGAGAATGCAGAGTTTGTTTCATAAAGAATTCTGATTGGCAAAAGGCAGCTCCGACGACCACCCGACTATCAATACCAATAGGAGGACCACCGGCACCAGCGCCGCCACCACCACCTCCTGCAGTAGTAATGGCACCGATACCACCAGCACCGTAACCTCTGGTAGCATTCCCAGTGCCGCCACTAGTAACGCTGCCGCCACTACCACCGAATCCAGAACCAGAAACAGTGCCCCCTCCTCAACTGGAACACAATGACGAACACATACACAACGAGCGAGCAGAAGAGACACAAGCAGCAAAATCTGCTGATGATGTCCCAATTGCTATAGAAAATCAAGAAGACCAGCCGGTTCAAGGGCCACTGAGAGTAAGGCGAAAAGTGGCAATAGAAGCACGAGACAGACTTTACGTCGGAGTTCGCTTTAATGACAAGGTCGACTAAGCCCCCGTACAACTCGCTCGCAAAATCAAGGCACCATCAGAAGGAAAGCGGCGGAGGCCAACGAAGCCTTTCCCCCACGAGAAACCAAAAGGAGCATCATAAAGAGTGGCCTCAAACGAACAAAACGAGCGACGAGGCCAAACGATGACGCTGGTAGCAGCAAAGACTCGATGAATTCTATCCAAGAACCAAATATCATAATTGGTACAGATCTGTTGCAATTCCCAGGCTCCATCGCGCATTGTGTCTCGAGTGACTTTCAGATGAGCTCAGAAATAGCACAGCAAATCCGCGATGCCTACCCATCACTACAGCCCACGTTGAATTCGCTCGAAACGCGACAAGTCGGAGCCTCAGTGTCCATACACATCCCTTCTCAAAACAAATCAATATTCAACCTAGTGACAAAATCGTAATATTTCAAAAAACCGTCTTTTTACGTTCTTACACGCGGCCTTCGCTGCATGAAGAAGCAGCGAATCGCGCAAGGGGTAAAGCAAATCGCGCTTCCCAAAATAGGCTGTGATCTGGATAAACTACGAGAAAACTCAGTTTTTAACATCATATTCGATATTTTACGAAAAACAGACATCAAAGTCGTTTTATTCTTCTAGCCACACCAGATACCTCCTGATCATCATTTCTGCGTCCAGTGGACACGTATACGAAACCGGGTCACTAGCAGAAGTCAACTTCCTAGAGATCTCGAAAAATGCAGAAAATTCCCATGTATTAAGACCAGGGATAGCACAATTTTGGGACCCGTAATTTTTTTATGAAAGGACCACCCGAAACTTTCACCGCGGATCCCCTTCCTAACGCCCACTGGACACGTATACGAAGCGGGCTCACTAGCAGAAGTCAACTTCCTAGAGATCTCGAAAAAGAAAATTCTCATGTATTAAGATCAGGGATAACACAATTTTGGGACCCGAAATTTTTTCATGGAAGGACCACCCGAAAATTTCACCGCGGATTCCCTTCCTAGCGCCCACTGGACATGTACACGAAGCCGGCTCAGTAGCAGAAGTCAACTTCCTAGAGATCTCGAAAAAGAAAATTCTCATGTATTAAGATCAGGGATAACACAATTTTGGGACCCGAAATTTTTTCCATGAAAGGACCACCCAAAAATTTCACCGCGGATCCCCTTCCTAGCGCCCACTGGACACGTATACGAAACCGGCTCACTAGCAGAAGTCAACTTCCTAGAGATCTCGTAAAAGAAAATTCTCATGTATTAAGATCAGGGATAACACAATTTTGGGACCCGAAATTTTTTTCATGAAAGGACCACCCAAAAGTTTCACCGCGGATCCCCTTCCTAGCGCCCACTGGACTTGTATACAAAGCTGGCTCACTAGCAGAAGTCAACTTCCTAGAGATCTCGAAAAATGCAGAAAATTCACATGTATTAAGATCAGGGATAACACAATTTTGGGACCCGAAATTTTTTTCTTGACAGGACCAACCGAAAGTTTCACCGCGGATCCCCTTCCTAGCGCCCACTAGACTCGTATACGAAGCCGGCTTACTAGCAAAAGTCAACTTCCTAGAGATCTCGAAAAATGCAGAAAATTGTCATGTATTAAGATCAGGGATAACACAATTTTGGGACCCGAAATTTTTTTCATGAAAGGACCAACCGAAAATTTAACCGCGGATGCCCTGCATAGCCCTCACAGGACAAGTGCACTGACTCAACAAGTTTCCATCTCCCCGTAGAAAGTGCCAACAGTCGAAAAACAAATGGAGCACATCAAATACTGAATTCGAACAAATGAAAAATATCGAGATTGTTATGAAATCAGTCAAGTCAATTTAAACTCACATCAAATCTTTATCGTTCGAAATCTGTGCATCTATGTCCACCATCGGACTTCTTCTTCCTGCCACCTGCTAAAGGCAAAAGCCTCGCCACAGCCTTCTAAGTTTGATCAGCTCTTTCCTTTGGCACTCTCAGACCTACCGACAACAGCGACGCACATCCAGAGATATTACCTAGGGTCACCACGCAGTGAACTCACCTGTATGGAAGATATACGGAGTCGCCAACCTCTTGGGTGCAACAAACTAAATTCTGTCCATGCACTGCAAGACACTCCATTAGGCTGCCGAGTGAAGCGTACTCCATCTCTAGTTGTCGGGCAAATTTCCCAAGCTTTACAAAGAACCAGATCTTTGTTCCACAGCCATACCATGTAATCAGACTGTCCAGAGTCTCATCATAGTCGCAATGGAAACGGCTTAAATTCTCCCCTTCAGTAACCATAAGGTATCCATATGAGTGCTCGGATATCTGCGACCTCAAAGGAGCCCAGCAGTTGAGGAATTTTGCGACCTCTGTGGCATTCTTGGGTACAACATCCATATGGGTTCTCGCTCCCCAAGGACCAATGGGAGTCGCGAACACATTGAAGCTACGCAGGACACGATCAGCATAAACCAAACAATTTAGAACGCGCTGAAAAAACACAATTATGAAGCCCACTTCACGAATGCCAACAATGAATGAGGATCCTTTCACTTACTCGTTGGTTTTTATCTGAGTGCTCTACGGTCACGAAGTAGAGCAGGCTCGTCGCGTCTCAGTCCATCATAAGAGCGCAACGTCAACGCGGAACTTTCGGAGATCAGGGCAATTCAACAAAAGACCATAGATAATCAAAACAAGAACTGGAAAATCCTGGAGTAACAGTTTGCAGCAATCGAAGGGAACTTCCATATATTGAGAGATTGCACACAAACGCTCTATTAAAACCAGCAAATAAACTTTAATTTTGATACAGCAGCATCTTTACTAAACGTAATTTACGCGGACATTGCCAGTTACAAAGCAGCTTTGTACGCCTTCAAAACCAACGTCCTCAATTCGATCCTACACTATTGGACCAAAGACTACCCATGTACCTCGTGCCTCGAGAATCTCTGTTGGCGGTAATCGACGCTGTATTTAGAAGCCAAAAGGAAGAACACCGTTTGACCATAGCAATACCGCCAAGTGACATCCACTCATATTATGACGCGAAACTACTTCGAGACGTCACTATAACTGAGGCAGGATTGTTGCTGAACTTGGCAATTCCTTATGCTTCGAGCCAGACAGCCTTTCATATCTATCGGGCACAAGTGATCCCTATGCCCCAGCCAGACCCAACAGAAGCCATTCGATGGATCACTGAAGCCATTTCAGAAGACTCGATGGAGACGACAGTGTTAACTGAAGACCAATATGCTAAATGTCTAGGAACTTCCGCTTATCGGATCTGCCATCAAACCATGGAAAATCATCTTGGCCATTCGTCATGCTTGGCCACTCTATATTTCCACTCAATAATGACGGCACTGATGGTCTGTGACACAGAGAAAATCCTCCTCCCATTAGCGACAACGCCCAAATTTGTTAACGGAAAAAGTTATTATATGAAAAAGTCTTCTTGACCAAAGCCGAAAAATGTACTGAATTAGAGAAGAGTGAAAAATCACTTTTTGGGGTCGTTAGGAAAAGGCCAAAAATGACCCAAACCCATCTCGGCCAAAAATGACCCAAACCCATCTCAAAAATAAAACCATCAAAAAGTGACATAACAAATTGCCATTGTCTTTCCGTGTTCTAGGGTCGCATGCAAAAAATTAGGGAATTCTAGCGTGGATTTTTTGAGAACCCGACTAATTTTTTCAAAAAGTAGGAACGTTAAACTGGCCAAATGTCATATGTTCCGAGGGGGCCCCTACCCCCTCTCAATGGGTTTATATAGCGCCGTGGGCACGCGCCCACCAAGGGTTTAATCGAAACGAAAGCCTACCTTCACAATTGGCGCTGCTCAATTTGTTTCAGAAAAGTAGCGGAATTCCTAAAAGGCAAAGATTTGAAACTTTGACCGTTTTCTGGAATTTTTTCCTCCGAAGAATACCCTGCCAATTCTCAAGTTAAATGATCAATCGAGAAGGCCAGTTTTGGTATTTTTCTTTGCTTAAGCGGCCACGACCTATTTTCTGTAGAAAAAAGTTATGGATTCCGGAAAGTCAGGGTTCATAAATTTCGACCGTTTTGTAGACGCTTTTTAATTTCTTTGAAACTACCCTATCAAATCTGAGATGAAGATTTCGATCGAATAAACCGATTGCGCAGAAGCGGCGAATCCTTACTTTTTGTTAAAACAGTTTGTGTTCTTGGGACAGTTCCATTATCTCAAAAAGTTTCACTCTTCTCAGTTGTTTTAGTAGAGAAACAACCTAGGTTTTGGGCAAAGTCCAATTCGTGAAATTCCGCATTTCATACCGCGCATCAGTATAAAAATTTCATTAATATCAAACACGTACCTCCGTTTTTCACTTGTATCAGTTTAAAATATGTTTGTGTTGTATCGCAAGTGGTGCTTTGCTCCGCTTCCCCTCTGTGTCATTGTTGAGCTCCTTTTATATAACATTAAAAAATGAAAAGTGTAAAACTTTGTGGTAAGTATTAAGAGAATTTTTTTATAATATTTTTAAATCTTCTCTTTTTTCATTTTTACTCGAATAAAATCACAGATACATGAAACGGTTGGTCTGTCTGTTATTACACTTGCGAGTTATCAGTTCAAAATATGTTTGTGTTGTATCGCAAGTGGTGCTTTGCTCCGCTTCCCCTCTGTGTCATTGTTGAGCTCCTTTTATATAACATTAAAAAATGAAAAGTGTAAAACTTTGTGGTAAGTATTAAGAGAATTTTTTTATAATATTTTTAAATCTTCTCTTTTTTCATTTTTACTCGAATAAAATCACAGATACATGAAACGGTTGGTCTGTCTGTTATTACACTTGCGAGTTTGCGATGCGTAGTGTTACTAGTAGGAACCTTCTTTTTTTAAAACCTAACTCGCAAATAAAAGTGTTTTTTTTTTATTTGGTGGCACTTTGGCTATAATCAGGAACTTTAGCATTGGAAATTTCCTAGCATCTATTTTCTGCTTAATTTATGGCTATTGTTTGTGATTACACAACCAAAGCTTGTGTGATAATATGAACTCTCTCCTCTCTCTTTTCCAACCTAAGTAGCAAATATTAGTGTTCATTTTGATCAATAACCAGCTATGAACTACAGCCAAAAAGCTTCAAGGTATCCTGGATCTGAAGCTTAGATGTTGGGAAGGAGACCCCCAACAAAATAAGAGAGTTCGAACCTGGGCAGGGTCGGATTTTTTAAAAACTTTTTTTCGTATACCTGTTAAAATGCGTCCGCTCTATAAATTGAGGCAAGTTAGTTTGTTATTTTTTTTTTCAAATTGACTGGTTCTGCTAATGCGTCATAATTGGTAGACTCATAATGGGCGTGCGTCACTTAAGAAATTTTGTAGATTCAAAGCTTTACTCATTCGATTTTCAGTGTAGCGTTATATTTTTTTGCTTGTGTATGCGAATTGCAACTTCACCTCTGTGTTTATTAAGCGTATGTGGTTAGTGCGTGAGAGACATTACCTCTAGCTAGCTGATCGAATCCGAGATGTAGCCGAACTTTTACGAATTCGAGGCCTTTTTCTACTTTTTTTTATCCAACTTGATATTTATAGAGCTGTTTTTTGTCGTGATCTCTAGTGTATGCGAAGCAAAGCTTCGCCTCCGTGTAGAAATTTCTGTCCATCAACAATTTCCCCTTGAAGTATTTCGGAGTCTGTTCGTTTTCTATGTAATTTTGAATTGTTTGAGCTTGAGTTTTAGTCTATCAGATGCTGTGCTTGTCTACCGGCAATCTTTTTTAATTAAAAAAACGTTTGTTGAAATCTGGGCGGGTCCAAAATGTAATATCTATATATTTTAATCTGAATTTTGAAAGTTAAATTTTACTTGGTTTTTGCTGCTTATTATTGTCCTTTTTTAAAATCAGAATAGGCTGTGAGTTGAGTTGGTTTCTAAGTTTTTTGAGTAGATTTTTAAGCCGTTGAGTTGATTTTCATGTTTTCAAAAAAATTTTGTTCAAGTTGCGTTCATGTTTTTGTTTGTTTTTTTTCTTGTTTTGTTGGGTGGGGTAAAGTATCAAAAAATGTTCTGAGTTTTAGATGTAATTATCTTTGAAATGAATTTTTCAAAATTTGGGTTGATTTGGCTTGTCTCGCCATGATATTATTTGTTTTAGAAGGTTTTGGCAGAACATTTATTTAAAAAGTAGCTAACTGGTCATAGTTTGTTTTCATAAACATATTTTTAAAGGTGGAAAACTAAGGAAATTATTAAGGTTTTTTTTTATTTAAAAATTATTTTCCTCACTATTGCAGTTTTTACTAAGCTGGGCCTCTGTTTTATATCTGGACCTCAGCCTCACATGCTTCACATCACCAGCATCCACAACAGTCGAGACCAATCCACAACTTCCCGCCGGCCCCGAAGCCTCCCTCGCCAATCAAGTTCTCCGAGGATCAGAGTCGGCAGTTCTACAAGAAAATTGAATACTTCAAATACCCATTTTGCACAGACGTTTCGAAGGTTGATTTTGATTTGACTTGGAACTTTTTCTTGGCATTTATTTTGATTTAATTTTTTGTCTTGATTTCAGAAATACACTCGAGTTGTATTAATTGGAAAAGGAACTTTTGGCGAGGTTCACAAAGCTAAAGTAGCATCGAGTTCATCCGATGCACCCGAGTACGTAGCAATGAAACGAATTATAATGGAAAAGGAAACGGAAGGGTTTCCCATTACAGCTCTAAGAGAGATCAAAATTCTCAAGTCGTTGAACCATCGCAATATTGTGCAGTTGAAAGAAGTTTGCAGACAGGCGCCGAGTGAAAGTAACAGATATACAATTAATATTTACCTCATTTTCGAATTCTGTCATCATGATTTAGCAGGGTTGCTATCCAGTCAAAGTATCCAGTTCACAGAACCCCAAATAAAAGGTTAGTTGGGTTTCCAACATTTTCAAATAGTCTTTTTACAACTCAAATCGTGCAATTTAATTTTTTTCAGGAATTCTCAGTCAGTTGTTTGATGGTCTGCACTATTTGCATCTGTGTAAAATATTGCATCGAGATATGAAAAGTGCAAATATATTCATTTCGCAAGATGGTTACTTGAAAATAGGAGACTTTGGACTGGCCCGCTCTTTTACCATGCCTAGAGATGATAAACCGAACAGATTTACGAATCGTGTTGTTACCATGTGGTATCGACCTCCTGAATTGCTATTAGGTGAGCTAATAATGGGCCAAGGAATTTTTGAGACATTTTATCTAGTTTTGTTAAAATTAACTGGATCTTTACGCAAGCAAAGCTTGTGTTATAGTATGAACTCTCTTTTTGCCAAGCTAAGTCACAAATATTGTTGCGACAAAATGTGATCATTTTGAAAGTGTTCATTTTGATCAATAACCATCTATTAAGTACAGCCAATGCTAAGGATATTAACACTGACTATTATATTACAAATAGCACTTTAGCCTCAAGATAGCATGGATCTGCAGCGAAAAGTTAGAGAAGGAGACCGCAATAAAATAAGAGGGTTCGAACCTGGGCAGGGTCGGATGTTAAACTTTTTCGTGTGCTAGTTAAAATGCGTCAGCTCTATAAATTGATGCTCGTTAGTTGGTAAATTTCTTTTTTTTTTGCAAATTGACTGGTACTGCTAATTTGCCTTAATTGGCTTGCTTCACGTAGCAATCAGTTGTTCCCAGTAGCGTTATCGGTCATATTTTTGCTTGTGTATGCGAAGTGGGGTAAATAGTTGAAAAAAGAGTGGAGTAAATAGTTAAAGATATCCATTTAATTTCATAAAAGTTCCAGGTGAACGAAACTATACTCCAGCAATTGATATGTGGGGAGCAGGATGTATCATGGCCGAACTCTTCACACGAACACCCATTCTACAAGGAAACTCAGAAGCTGAGCAAATAGACAAAATTTTGATTCTCTGTGGGTCCATCGATATTCAGGTAAAATTTGTAATCATGCTCTGTCATCAACGTGTTTCTTATCGGGAAAATATTCAATTATATAGCACTGCTTTTCATGTTTTACCCTTGAGGTTAACAAAGGTAATGCAACCGGACATTAAGCTTTTTTCCGTTTGGAACTTTGTTCACAGAATTTGTAAGTGAGTTTTGGTTTCTTATTAGTTCAGTTCATTTACTATAATAAATGGAAGGTAAATCCAACTATCGATCAGCAAAATTTTTAAAGTTACGAAAAACGTGATCGACTTATAGTTTCAAAACTGTAATTTAATTTTCAGATTTCCCGGCGAAATGAAAGTTTTTATTTTTTGATCCAGTTTTCTCAAATTTTTATCTCAGAGTTTTATCAAAGAAAACACCGGTCATGATTTGCTCTTGAGTTCCAAACAGTTTTAAGGGCATCTATTTTTTTAAAATTCGAAAGTTGAGGTTTCAAAAAAAAATGAGTTCATTTTTTTTTTGTTTACTCGCCTTTATTGACTCTTTTCCAACTGTCTGAACTCGCAAATAAAACTCTTCATTAAAAGCGTTCACTTATTTGGAAATTTCTCTCTAGCATTGGAATTTGCATAGTATCTGTTCTCTGCTTTATTTCTGGCTAGTGTTTCGTCCCTATTAAGCGTCCGTGACTGAGTGGTTAGTGTGCGAAACTAAATCTCTACGTAGCCAGTTCGAATCTCTGACTTAGGCCGAATTTTTGATAATTTGAGGCTTATTTCTATTTTTTGTATGGCACTTTATAGGAGTGCTTTTTGTCCTGTTCTCGTTAGTGTCTGCGAAGAGAAGCTTCGCTTCTATGTAAAGGAAGGCCAATTCCACTATCGAACTGAAAAAGTGTAGAGGTCACGGAAAACGTGGTCGGCTGCTTGATTCGAAAGTGGATATTCATTTTCAGACTTTCCAGCGAAACCAGAGAAAAGTTTTTATTGACCCAGTTTTCTCAAATTGAGTTGATTTATCACAAAAAATTGTCAATCATAAATTGTTATTGAAATTTAAAGAGCTTTAGGGCCACATATATTTTTTCTTTGAAACTAGCTTTTTTTTATCTGTTTCCTTGCGTTCATCAACACTTCTACAACTGTCTGTTGGCTATGTTTAAGAGTCGATAAACGTAGTGCAGACTTTTATTTAGGTCGAGTTGATTTTACTTTTTATGTTTCTTAAAGGAACAGTCTTAAAATTTGTTCAGGTTCAAATTTAATTTTTTGCGGTTTGACTTCTGATTTTTTTCTAAGGTGAGTTTATTAACTTTCAAAAGAAAGCAAATTTTGTTTAGAACAGCAAAAGTTTAAAGGTCACGAAAAACGTGATCTACTTCTAGTTTTGAAAGTGAAATGTAATTTTCAGTTTTTCCAGCGAAATAAAAATTTTACTTTTTGATCCAGTTTTCTCAAATGGGTTAGTTTTATCAAATAAGTGTCAAGCACAAATTGTTCTAGAAGTTCCAAGACTTCAAAGGGCATCCAATTTTTCTTCAAAATTTGAAAGTTGAGATTTTTTTCAAAAAACAAGGTAGTGTTTTTTTTTTGTTTATTTGCGTTCATCGACTCTTTTTCAACTGTCTTTTAGCTATGTATGTTTTTCGCGTTGTAGGTTTGTTCGGTTTGTGTTACATGGGTTTGCCTCATAATACAGTCAAATTTTTTTGCTTTATGTGCCTGAGAGAGATGAAATTTTGAACAAAAAGTTTTGATGAAATTTTGTTCAGCTGAACGGCAATCTAAAAGTTTATTTTTGGATTGATAACCGTTTCGTAATAATAATCTGAATGCTAACTGAACGTTCGCAATCGTATGTTTTGACAGATTTTCCTCAAATTGAACTTCATTCGAGACATTCCTATGAAAGTTTTGGATGATGCTGTTATTTTTTGACTGGCCTTCGTCTAACAAACAAAAGCCACTGAGATCACTCTTTAACTTAAATATTTAAAACTAAAGATCACCAAGAGATCGTAAAAGTATATGAGTTAAGATCTTCAATAGAATTTGACCGTTATGAGAACTCAAAAGGGACCTCAAATTGATTTGAATTGTGTGTTAGACGTGGCCCGAAGTGGTCAACCTGGAGCTGTATAAAAAGTTCCAGCTGCCCCACAAGTACAGCAGGTGTCTGATGGTGAAGCTGCAGAAGTTCATGAAGACGAAGGAGAGTCTGGATCTTCTGGACAAACTGCTGGTCCTCAATCCCCAGAAGAGACTCTCGGCCGAGGCGGCCGCTGAACACTTTTACCTCAAAACACCTCCTTACAAGGCAAGTATATTAGTAATAGTAATAAATTGTTTCCAGTATAAGTTCTCAGTGGTTGACATAAATTATATGATCACTTGAAGAACCCAGTCTGGGAGATTGTCGTTTGGCAAATTATGTCTGTTTTCAGACGTCTCTGGTTTTCTCTGTCCTTATATTTCTTAAAAACAGTCGAGAGTTTGTTAAATGGTACAAGTTAAAAGTACAGAACCCCATTTAACATCTTAGTAGATGATATCTACTAAAAAGTTATATCATAGGAAATAAATATACTTTGCCCAATTGTCAACTAATTGTAATATAACTTGACTAGTTCTTACTCAATTTGAACAACATACTGTGGCAAGTGCCCTACTCCCGTGCCACAAAAACTTCCGTGGCAGAAGTTTTTGTTTTGGGACGTAGTAGAAGAGTTCATTCAAAATAGTCTTAGAATATTAGTTAGTTTTTAGAGAAAGTATATTTGAAGATAACTTTTACCTTGAAAAATGAAATTGAATTCTGTAGCAGTAAGTTCCCAGATTTAAAGTTTTGCATCATTCGTAAAGTCAGTGACTTGATTTTGTGTAATATTTGAGTGTTTTAAGCTTTGTTGGAAAAATTTGCGGTAGAAGTAGTTAAGTTATAAAATCAATTCGTAAAATTGACACCCGCTCACATTTGCAGAGCTTTTCAAAGAAAGTAAAAGACTAATTAGAAAGGATACGGTATAATAAAAACAAAGATAAGGGAATCAAGATTCAAGGGGAACAGAAACTGTTCTTGTCATATTCTTGGGTAGTTGCTGAGATTATCCGGCTGTTTAGCTTGGTTGTATTAATTTGTTGAAGTCTGAGTTGCATGATTATCAGTTTGGTTGATTGTTGATTGGTTACTTTGAAACTGGGAAATCTTTATAAAGTAAAATGTGATTTGGATTGAGCGGCAGATCTTCTTTTATCTCGTTGGATACCTTTGTGAGCGGTACCGCATTCATTGTTGACCCAAATTCTGTGGTGAAAGTTGTCAGTGTTTCGTAGGTAAGTGTTTTAGAGCTAATAATTTTGTACAAGGCGAGTTTGAAAATCTGCGCTAGCCTTTACCAAGAACCACCAAAGTGAGGCGCTGCTGAACTTCCCTTCAAAAGTTACCTTCAGGAAATTCATGCTATCAAAACACTCTTTGTTCTTCTGTAAGCTTTCAAGGCATTTCTTCAGCTCAGTATTAGAACCGACGAAGCTTTTCCAGAATCAGAAACCATTATCAATGATTTTTCCTCGGCGGGTAATAAAGCGTCTGATTGAGAGTTAAGTGCTGTCATTTGAGAGGCTGAATAAAAATTGTGAACAGCTCTAATGACAAGTCAGTTGTAAAGAAGAACGTACGCGGGGTACTGTTTACCTTGTAGAACAATGGAAAAGGGACCGGCGTAATCTGATCGAGTAGTTGTGAAGTGATTTGTAGATGGCAGCCTTTCAATTGGAATATCTGGCGTTTCAGCATAATCAATTTGTTGCATTCTTTTGCACGGTATGTAGCTGTGGATGATACTTTTAAGCATCAAGTGGCATCGCAGAATCCAGAAGTGTTCGTTTGCTATGGCCATTGATTGTTTATTTCCGCAATGAGAATTAAGAACGTGTATGTTTTGTAATAGCAGTCGAGTGATTGAGTCAGCAAGACTGGTTGGAGATATAGCAGATATTAGCAATGGTGATCGGGTTAGCCGTCCTCTCGAGCGTATTATACCAAATTCATCCAGAAAATGGGCTAAAGTTCGAATGAACAAAAAACAGTAGGCAGTTGTCTGTAGTCTTTTCCAGTTGCTGAAGCGTCGAGTATCAAAAATGGGTTCGAACTAAGAACCAATGTTGGCCGCAAAACGGAGGTATTTTCCAAACTTATCTTTTCCTGTGAAGGCCAGTTGCTGAAATTTTCTTTAAAAAATCAGCTCCTTCTAACCAGCGCGAGTATGAAGACGTTTCAGCGGTAGTATAACCTCTGTTACCATCGTCAGCAGGGTTTACCAAGGTGGAAACGTAATACTATTGCTCGGGTTTCGATGCGTCCAATATTTTTAGTCGTCGATTAGCCTCAAAAATTTTGTGTCGTCTTTCTGGTGTTAGCAGCCAATACTAAACAGTTGTGCTATCCGACCAGAATAAAACTTTATCGAAAGTTGCACAGCCTACACTGTGACTTGCAATTCGATGTTGGTAATCGTAATGGGTTTCATCGGATTGAACCGTGCCTTTCCGATGACAAATTTGAGCGTATTCAAACCGTTATAAGCGATTCGAAGGTAAAAAACTGCTGCAAGATCAAACTCTGATACGTCACAAAATGTGTTAGGCTGAATTGAAGAGTGGTTTTCCTGATCGAAGTTCCTCAGCAGCGAAATAATTTCAAAACTTTCAATTTCATCGAGCCAAATTTTGATAACCGGAAGTTTGTTGACGTTTAAAGGAGTGTCCCATTTAACACCCGGAGACCACACCGATTGTAGAACTTTTCGAATGCGAACTGCCATTGAGGCTACTCTAGAGAAAGGGCCAAACAGTGATGCGGTGTACTGCAGCAGTTCTCGTTGAGTAGCGACTCCTATATGAAGAATTTTGACTAATTTTTGTTGTCGATGAAGAAACAATCTTTTTTGCTATCCCAGTTAGCACCAAGAACTCTTTGTAACTGAGGTTTACGATCATTACGATCATTCCATGTAACTGAGGTTTGGATCAATGGAATACAGGAAAGCTCTGCTGTTGGAAGTCCACTTACTCAAATTAAATAGACATATACATTAAATTGAGTCACTTGCTTCATCTGTTCAAAAGCTTTGTCTACAGTGGCTGAGGTAACGTATAAGTCGTGCATGTATATGTTCCGTTTATTAATTTCGGAAGCAAGCGAAAAATCTCGTCGATTGTCTGTCGCACACTTGCGAACAGCATAACAAGCTACACAGGGTGAGTCTTTTGCGCCAAATATATGTCTGGTGTTTTCTTGAACCTCAATTTGGCTGTTTTCCTTTCAAAGGTACCGAAGATAGGGCTTGTCTTTAGGCCTCAACAAAAATTGCATAAACATGGCGCTTTTAGTCATAATTTTTGGTTCGACAAAGCAGTTTCGAGTTGCAGTCAAAAAAATTGTGGTTTCCTAAACAGATGAAACAAATGCATTTTCGTGCATACTTTTTCCGTTGCTTAGAATCTAAGGCTTTGAAGTGCCCACATTTGTAGAGAGGCCTGCAAGTGTCTCCAATTGGGTGGGATTTCAGAGAACTTGAGTGCCTATTGAAGTTAAACTTGAGTGCCTGTTGAAGAGTTAAACTTATAATCCTCTCCCTGATGATTGTTTCGTTGTTTATGATTTTGTCTGATGTTTCCAGTAAAACCACCAAAGCTGGAGTTGTTGGCGTTTCTGAAGTAGCCCGAAAAACTCGAAGATTGATTGGTGTGTTTACGGAAACCAGATGTAGGCATATCGCGACACGCTTGTGACTAACGTTGAAACCATTGAGCTAAATCTCTCAAAGAAGGCGAATTGTAATCTTCATCAATCCTATTTCGATTCCATTCTAATCTGACAGGATTTGGCAGTTTTTCCAACGCGGTGTTCAACCTCGTTGTTGAACAAAGGTCATTAACGAAACCGTGTTGCTCGATTGTGTCTACTTAAGTGAGTGGAAAGTCAGAAAATTGTGTGTATTACTCTGGTTGAGTCAAATTAGGAGGTCTGAAATTTGAAAGCCTTTGCTAAACGAATTCACAATTACATTGCAATTGTCATTTTTTTTCGCAGACATTTAGAAGCAAGTTCATTTGTGTCTCCGCTTACGACATATCCAGCTATGAAGGATTTGGCATCGCCAGTTACCAGTGATTGCAGACGAATCATTTTTTTTAGTAGGTGACATGCTTGATTTATGAATTGTAGATTCAAAAATACCATACCAGTGCAACCAGTCGTTTGGATTTCCGTTCAAAAAATGTAGTTCTCAGTTTTGACACTGAGTCGGCGCGAAGTTACTGTTAGCGGGAGATGCCGCTTGTTCACTTAGTTGAACCTTGTTAATCATTGAAACAATCTCGTTATTGACAAGATTGTTCGATGCTGATGCAGTGTTCGAGGTGTCCCTAGAGGCAGCATAAGGATTTTAAGTTGAAACTTGAGGAGCTATGTGTGTAGCTCATAGTTGTTGAGAGTTGCTATTGAGAAGTAGTGAAACAGCAGTTTGTTGTAATTCTCGTTTTTTCTTGAAGATTTTTTTCACCTTCATAGAGAACAATCGGATGTCTTGTTTCATTTTCACAGTCCAAGAAGTGATTTTTGAAGTCTTGTTCTGAGCCAATTTGAAGCATATTTTCGCGCAGTTTGTCAAGTTGAGTTGCTTTTGAAACTGCAACCGGCCGTTGAAAGTTTCATCGACAAGTTCGATGTCATCTTCATCGTCATCAAGACTATTATCAAGCATTTGCATTAAATTTTGATCTCTATTTCATAGTGACGGCGGAGGTGAAACAGTTTTCTAGTCTCGTTCCATTGAATGTATCGAGTTACTTCATCGTGCTGCAATGTTTCATCCGATGAATTGAAGGGAGTAATTTTGTTCGCTGGAGGCATTTTAAAACGATGTGAAGTGACCAACACCTACCAACTTGAAGTTATACCCAATTCCGAGTGACAATTTTTTCAATCACCTTTACCGACCAACCTACAGAGCAGGTGATTTGTACCAAATGTTATAATTTTAACCGTACCCTACCACTTATACCTATCCTCCGAGAACGATGCTTACCTAAGATTAACAAAGGTTAAGAGGTTGTCTGTATGTTCTTGGTAAATTGAAATCACCAGAAAGTAACCATTTAAGTACAAAATCTAAGTGAAATGCAGCGATGAGCTTGATAACACTTGGGAGAATACTTTGAACCCGAGGGCTCGAAGCAAAGCGAGGAGCTAGATAAAGCTCGGGAAACGCACAGAACCAAGAGAGACTCGAAGCAAAGCATTGAGCTATGATAAAGCTCGAGAAAAGCCAGGATCACAGAGAGGCTCGAAGCATAGCGATGAGCTAGATCAAGCTCAGGGAATTCAAGAATTTAGAGAGGCTCGAGGCAAAGAATGAGCTAGATGAAGCTCGGAAACACTAAGAACCCCGAGAGGCTCGAAGCAAAGCAATGAGCTAAGATAAAGCTCGAGAAAAACTAAGAACCTAGATACTTGAAGGAAAGCGATGAGCAAGACAAGCTCGGGAAAAGCCAAGAACCCAGAGAGGCTCGAAGGAAAGTGATGAGCTAGAACGAGCTTGGGAGCAGCCAGGAACCCTGAGAGGCTCGAATTTCAGGGTAAAGATTGAGCAAAATGAAGCTCGGAAACGCTAAGAACCCAGAGAGGCTCGAAGAGAAGAATGAGCAAGATGAGGCTCGGAAATGCTAAGAACCCAGGCTCGAAGCAAAGGAGGAGCTAGATGAAGCTCGGAAACACCAAGAACCCAGAGAGGCTCGACACAAAATCTTGAGCTAGATAAAGCTTGGAAACGCCAAGAACGCAGAGAGGCTCGAAGCAAGCGACGAGCTAGGTAAATCTCGAGATATGAAGAGTAAAGTAATACTCGAGCGAATTGAAGCAAACAATCAAGGGTGACTCGAAGGAAGGAAGAGTCCGGTAAGACTCGAAGGAAGGAAGCGACGAGTCAAAAAAGACTCGAAGGAAAGAATCAAAGAGTCAGGAAATACTCAAAGTAAGGAATTGAAGATTCAAGAAAGACTTGAAGGAAGGAATCAAATAAACCAGAAAGACTAGAGGGAACAACGAATGGAGTTGTGAAGGAAGGAACAATGAAAAAATATATATTCAAAAAGTGTAACAGACCAACAGTGAAGGCGGAAAAATCAGCGGGTTAGTTAACTGAACGAGTGGGGATGAAATTAAGGTTTTCGAAGCACCGGTAATGAAAATGAATATCAGTTTTTGTATAAAATCTCTCATTTTGATTTGCTTTAATTGAAAAATGTTAGAGGAATAACATATTTGTGAGTGAAAGTTGACGCAATTCACTGATTGAACTGTGTAAGCATATTGCGGGGCATACAAAAAAATTCACAATTCAGCGGTTTTTTTCCTTTAAAAAAAGAACAAAGTATGTTCAGAAAAAAATAGTGGTCAATGTAAGCGTTTCTTCAATAAGTGAACAGCAAAATATCTTTTAATTCAAAATTGCACTCTTTGAGTTTTTTAAACTTGTTATTTAAAACTGTTAGGTTCTCTATTTCCGCTAATTACGAGGGTAAAGATGTATTTGATGGTAAACCGTAGTAATTCTAATTAGTATAATAGAGTATATGCGGGTAAGGCGTTGTATTAGATGGGTCATCTGATCCTTTTTATGCGTACAATGTTTATAAATATGGTAAACAATTTTGTATTAGTAAAATAACACCAAAAAATAACTTATGTGGTACCAACTATAACAAATTTTAGGGCGCCAGTATAAAATTTTAGGGCGCGAAAACAGGCTTTAAAATTGGTTCAGATTTATTTAATTAGTATATTAGATGAACAAAAGAGAGAGGGGGAATAAAAAAGTTTAAGTCTAAGAATATAAGTTAGAAATTAGAGAAGTATTGAAGATAACGTTTACCTTGAAAAAATTGAAATTGAGTTTTGTAGCTGTAAGTTACCATATTTGAAGTTTTGCATCATTCGGAAAGCCACGGACTTGATTTTGTGTAGTGTTTGATTGTTTCAAGCTTTGTTGGAAAAATTTGCGGTAGAAATTAGTTAAGTACTAAAACCAATTCGTGGAATTGACAACCAAAGTGATTAACGCGCTCTCCAAAAACTCTAAAATTCTTTTTTGTAAGTTTTCAAAATTAATGACCTAAAGACCTTCAGGCACTTAATTAAATAACAAAAATAATGTCTTGAGGCTGAAGGAGATAAGTCTTTTGTCAGTGCTGAGTTAAGTCTCTTCTAAGTGCTGAAATGATTGGAAAGTTGAATTCAGACGTCAAGAAGAGCAGTTTCAGGTAAATTATTTACATTCGTGCTTGGATTCGTTGACCAAAAAGGATATGTTGAACACTTAGACATTAGTATATAAACTATAGAACTCGGTTAAAAGGCTGATTCAATCGCTGTTTAGGAAGAGAATCTTTTGAGTCTTGTGAAGAACAGAGAGTCTTGTTTCGAAGGAACTTTGAGGAGGCAGCACTTGAGTGAGATGAGCCAGAGATCGCACAAACCAACTGGACCGCCCGTGCCAGCAGGAGTTTTTGACAGAGTCTACTAGAGTTGAAACTTTAAAAAAAGAGAAACTTGAACTAGGTGCTCTAAATTTTATGCTTTCAGATTTGTGATTTGAACCGTTCCAATATATGTTGCTAAATTAGTTTTCTAACAAAAATGGTCATTATCAGACTAATCAGACTTAGTTTTTTGGTCAATTCGGAGATATTAATTGTGATTCAGAATAGAGTAACTTGGCCGTTAAAGATTTCACGGACAGAATGTTTGATACAATGAAAGTACATAAATAAAGCAGTTGATGCTAGCTAGCATATAATCCGAACTAGAAACAAATCGCTCGCTGGGGCAAAATAAGTAACCATAGTTTTTATACTGACAAAGTGCAATCTATTGCATTATTCAGAGAAATTAATGTACCGGGTAATAAAAAGTTGTTAGCAGGGGCGGATCCAGGATTTTCTCGAGGGAGAGGGTTGCGGATTTTCAATTGTTTTTTTTTGTAAAATTGATTTTCCGAGCACTCCCAAAACACTATAAAGACCCTATGTTGAACAAAAATTTTGCGCGGTAGTCACTTTTTCAAAAAGATCCTTGTTCAAAAAGCTGTTTTCAGCATTTTTGGAAACTTTTGCCAAAAAAATGTGATCCGGTGCGCGCTCTTCATCAATCGATTTTCAAAAAGTGGTATCAATAGAAATACCGCCAAAAGTATTGAGTGCCTGCATACTCCTCGGTCTAATTTTGCTTTACTCGTTTGTCTACACCATTCGAAAAAGTCTACACAGGAATCTATCGTCCTCGGAAAACAGTTTATTGAATTTTTTAGCCTTGTTTTTCTAATTGTTTTCAATTTTATCTAAAAATAACCTCCCATTTCTGGAATTTTGGATTCCATCCGAAGAAAGGGTTAAATGAAGCTCCTTTGCAACTCGACTATATCCAATTGTTTTAGGCAAAAATTTAGGGCCCTTGGAAAGCTCAAAATTTTTTGACTTTGCTCGAGACCTACCCTGCCAAACCTGGTTTTTTGGGTTCAATCGGAATAACAAATTTGTTGAGTCTCTTCAGCATCGGCCGCTATGCTCATTTCTTTCAATTAAAAGCCATGCTACTCGGAAATGTCATTTTTTTGATTTCCTGATCGCGTTTTTTTTTGTTTTCTCGATAACTATCCTGCCAAATCTGATGTTATAGGTTTAGTCGATACAACAGGTTTTTGGAAGCTTAGCTTGATAAATTGCTCTGTTTAAACTATTTAGAAGAAAGTTATGACCTTCAAACAAATGAAGGTTTTCAAAGTTGATTGTTTTTCGAAACTTTTTGAACTGTACTCCAAAATTACCGTGCCAATTCTCAGATTAAGAGTTCAATCGTGAAAGCCGATTTTGTGAATCTCCTCTACTTTACTGGCCACGACCTGCTTCTAGCAGAAACCTTTATGGAATTCAGAAAGTCAAAATTTTGAATTCCGCCCATTTTTAGAAAATTCGAACTTTCTTAATCCTGATTCGAAAAGTGGATTATGTGGGATTTGAAATGAAAGTTTCAATCAAAATAAGCGGTTGCGGAAATTTATCCTGCAGAAGCAGCTCCTGATTTTTTTTAAGAGAATCATGTTTCATGGGTAAATTCCATATTCAAAAAAAATTTTTGCACTTCTCACTACGTAATACGTAATTACGTATTTCATCCCGCATCAATATAACAAATTCAAAAAAAAAAACACCAAACAGGTATATCCAGCTTTAGCTAGGCTGTAACTTTTTTTTTGTCAAAACATAAAAAATTTTAGTTTGTCTAGTTTTTTTCAACATTTATCATTTTCTCCGCTTAGCATCTGTGTAAAATATTACCAAAGAAGGGATCCTTTGGATGGCGAGAGAATCAAATAACTATTCTCTCAGTGAATTGACCCTCTCGCCATCCAAAGGGTCACCGCTTTGGTATTATTTTACACACTTGCGATGTAACACAGCCATAAAAACATAGGTCGAAAAAATGAAAAATATTGAAAAAAATAGGTGAACCAAACTTTTGTATGTCTCAACAAAGGACTCGAATTTTTGTATGTCTCGACAAACCCTCCCTCAAATCCGCTTCTGGTTGTTTGTCAGTAGCGGGTAAAATTTTGAATTATGAAGTATTTTGTCAAATGTTAAATGTTTTGATTTTCATCAACATTTGTAAAAAAAACGTTTTGAGCATTCACGAGTTTTTCACATTTTTTGTACAGGAAATGCTCTTAGAACAAAAGAAGTGCATTCATACTTGCACATATGAATGCACTTCAATAAACGCACATATGAATGCAAATAGATATATACGTATTTTTTGTTCAATTCAAATTGGTTTGTTAGTAGGTAGGTAAAATGGTTATGAAAGATGGAAGGGAGCCAAAATGATTGATTTCTATTTTCGAAAGTGGAATTTAAATTTTAGATTCCCCAGCGGTATATATTTTTTTCCTAATGATCTAGTTTTCTCGAACTTCCAGTTTTCTCCAGTTTTTGTGAATAATTTGAAGTTTTGATGAAATAAACATAACTAACAGACAGTTAGAGAAATTTTGATGAACGCAGAGAAAAAATATTACTTGTTTTTTTTTTTTGAAAAAACTTCAACGTTCGAACTCGAATTTTAGACAAAAATGATAATGCTTAAAACTATTAGAATTTCTAGAGCAACTTGTTATTGGCTTTTTTTTGATGAAAAATTACCCAAATTTTGTCGAAAGTGCCATTTATTATAAACTGCTTTGGAAATTTGAATTACCTAACGGTCCCTTTCGATTCCATAAAACGCCAGTAGTAGATGTTGAGGCTGATTAGGGGGGAGGGGAGCATGGCGGACCCCATGTATTAAGATACGTTATAGATTTCCGGTCGGCCATGCTAAGTTTTAAGATTGGGTATAGAGTCTACAATGTATTGAGATGGGGAATACCAATGGTAGGTTTTCTGGTTTGTGTGATGGCAAGATAATGGTAAGAAAAACGTTTTTTTTTTGGTTTTAGTGTGAAAATGTTTTGTTTTTTTTGTGCAAAAGTTTCGGCGCGCGTTATCTAATTGGGAACAATTAATTGTTAATTACTTGTAGATTGTAGAATTAGGGTTATTTTTTTAAGTTTTTTGGTGTATGGTAAGTCAATGGTAAGAGTTTTTGTGCAAAAACTTAGATTTTTTGCCAGAAAAACTGAAATTTTTTTTCAAAATTATCCAAAACACGATAAGTTTAGCTATTATTTGACCTAATTTTTTTAAATAATCTTACTTTTTATCTGATTGAAACAATGCTGAAACCTACAGAGACTTCGAAAAAAATCAAATTTTTTGAGAGAAAAAAAAAATTACAAAAAAAGTATATAGATCACTGCCTTGTATAACAAGTTTAATGCAAAATTTTACATTTTAATATCAAAAACCAATATAATACGACATCATGAATAAATTTACTACACCAGATCAGTTCTTATAAGTTCAATGGTTTTGTATGAATACCATCATCTTGTACTTGTCTTTTTGGATAAAAATAGCTTAGTCTTTTCTTTGTCTGTTCATATCTGACCACCATAAGATTTATAGTTCTGAACCCTCTGTTTGTAGATGTTAAGTTGATTGCTTCATCGAGCACTCTCCTGTTTTTTGACATAGGACCGTCTCCAGCATCTTCGAGAACTCGCTCGTTTTATCCTTTACTGCTAAATTTGAACTTATCTGACTTGTTGTCATAGCAGCAATATGTCTTGCTAGAAAAACATAGCATTTCTTTACATCTAAATTCTTCTTTAAAAAGTCCCGGCTTCCGTTTATCATACTTTTCATGCGTACTGCAACACGTTCGAGGGAAGAAATTTGAATTTGCATCCGCCTTGAAAGAGTCTCTGCAGTCATTTTTCCTCATTTTTCCCAAGCAGCTCTCTTATCTGGTTGGATACAGTCGTATAAATTCGCTTCAGCAAGTGCCAAGTGAAATGAGTCTGTGTCCATCCCTAACTCGTCAATTTTTTTTTAATCGCAGAAGTTGTCGAAGAAGTTATAGTAGAGCTCCAACATTCTGAGTTTTGCAAACTGCAGTATGAAAAATCCAACAATGATGGGTTCTCTATGTTCAATGGTGGATTTCAACAATTCGACCTCATATAAATCTGTTTCAACTGAATTCAATTTTTGAACAATGGTTCATTGATTGGTTTATGATTGTTTTCATTGTTCAGATATTTTGTGATTGTATGTGTCGATCTATCCATGATCTGATATCCAGGATACGAGGAATTACCCAAAAGTTTCATTGTTTCTGCTACAACTCCTGATAGAGGGTTTTCATCTCCTTCTCTTCTGGCATCAACCACTGATTACACGAAATTATTTGAAACATTTCCGAGGAGAATATTGAACAAATCGGTAAATTTTGGTGCACTGCAAGCCAAGTTCCAAATAAAAGTTGAACAGAGCAGTTATAACTGTTCCATTTTCTAGCTTGAAACTAGATATCAGCATTCTCTGAGGCTGTTTTAACATTTCGTTCTCGATCGCATAATTCTTCATGTAATCTCCAATATCATCTCTTCCAAGCTCATTATTTTTGAAAATTGGAGGAAAATTCGCAAATTTTGAATTTAGTTCATCTGGAACAACTAAATCGCACTGAACGTAGCCAAAGGGATCCATCTTTTATTTTTGCTAGAAAAAGTCTGCAGAAAGAAGTCTTTTATAGGAAAAGTGGGTTCTTACGTGATTTTTGATCTTGTCATTGGTTTTGAAACTTTCCCACCAGTCACACTCCCACATTTCTTCCACTTTGTATCCTTTCTCATTAATGTATTCTCGTCGTCGCATATCATTCATCTCTTCTTGTTTCCTCGCTCAATATCCTGTTCTGTTAAGGAAGGACAAGCTTCTTAACAGGAACAGAAGTGGTAGTAGCATCCCATTGCTTCGAATACTTTTTAACAGTGATCGCAGTAACCATCAACATTAAAACAGTCGATTTTTTTTCTGTTTACCAGATGTAAAAAAAGCTCTCAATTTTATATTCTGGCCTTGATTCTTTATAGTAAGACATGATCATATTCTCAAAGTTGCGAGTTCGATTATGTCTAGCCTTGAATTTCTGCATATCGGTGTCAAACT